TGAAATAAACAAAGTTCCGTCTGCAAACTGTTTCTAATTATTAAAAGCAATAAACCGCTAAGATCCATAATAGAGTTTTATGAAAATGGCCGAGCTTATTTTAATTATATTTTAATATATTTCTGTAAATTCTATAAAAACTTTTAATAGTTATTTATGCAACAAGTGCAAAAAGTAAGTGTTTATTGCACGCGACGTAAAATTGTAGAGTGCAATAACTCGTAATATAAAATATGCAATTGTTTTTAAAACGTAACAAAGAAAATGAAAATGGACTAAAATATTTGGCATTGATTTGAATATTTATGTTTGTCATGATCATAAAACACTGTAGTAAAATGACAGATGAGTGCAATAAAATTTTCATTGTACTAGTGCAATAAAGAACCAGTTTTTTCACTAAATATAGTTCAATAAAGTTTTGTTTCTTGCATGAAAACAATATTTTGATATCAAAACTCCGCAATAACTAAATGAATTAGATAGGTAATAAAAAGATAAGTTCAATCTCGGCTTAAAACTATATGCATATAACAAATAGGCAGGTAGGTACTTACTTTTCCGACACTGACAATCACTAATATCGATTCACTTTACTTTTCTTTTCGAAAGTCTGCAAACAAATTCAGTCACTGGCCAATACTAATATCGACTCACTTTTCTTTATGAAATTCCAGAAACAAATGAGTAACGATTATCCTTGACATTCGTATTTATATTGGTGAAGAATTAAACACGTTCATGCAAGATTGCAAGCACATACACCATAAGTCGTATTAATTTGCACGTTTGAACAAGCATTGCGGACGGGACGGCGGCCAGCGCGACATCGACAAGTCTCGATGCGTTGTACTGAACATGGAATATGCAAGTTTTTACAAGTAACAGTCGCTGAGCTTCTTAAAATATTATCTGCCTATATTGATAAGAGAAGTCAAGTCAACATTTTAGTAACTAAAATGTTTATATTATAAACAGTTGAAGTTTTATACATGAATTTCTTTATCACATGGAAAAATGAGTAATAATTTTTTAATAGTATATTGCTTCACTTCACAAACTAAATTAATTTTCATGCACCCCGCTTACGATTGTGGACCCTCATTTTTTATTACGCCCAACGTAGACCCCCGTCGAGTCTTTCGTGGACCCCTGGGGGTCCACCTGGATCACTTTGGGAAATACTGATCTAGAAATTATTCTGTGAGTTCTCTGAGGTCTAGGTTGGGATGTGTCCTTAGCTGTTTAAATACGATCTCGGCCCATTTTTTAATGCGTTCTAGAATCGGTGATGATTCTATAAATATCTGTATAACTGGATGTTTCTAAATTATCCATATGCATTTGCTGCATATCTCAGACAGAGGATACGCTGCGTTTGGATTTTTTTACTGCTAGATCTGCAGGTGTTTCCCTACGCTAATAGGGGCGTAGTTTGGTTCTAAACGCGAGCTGGCTTTGTCGCCTGATTAGGCAACTCAGCCTCGCTTTTTCTGTTGGCGTGTCTTCTCTTCTTGATCAGCACAGCTTGACTTTTTTAAAAAAATATTTTAAACAAACCATCTTTCGCTTTTGAGCTACCAGAATAAATCTTTTATTTGGGTATCTTTTAGAATCAAAAAAATTATTATTACTCCTTTCAATTAACATACCTCTTAAACACTTAACCTACCTTTAAAATAATAAAATATCAAATAAGTATTCTATTTTAAAGCTTTTTTCATTTAAATTTTTTAAAACCGTCACCTGAATAGAAATATTATTTGTAAATAAACTTCAGCGAAATAGCACCCAATTAGAAATTAAATTAAATATTGCTTGAAAAAAAAAAACAAAAACACGAAAGAAAATCAAGAGAGAAAAACGAGCATCAAATAATTTCCTCGTATTTCTATCTACTTCCTACTTTAATTGCACTCATTAAAGCTCCATTTTCGAACACTGTAACATCAGTTTCTTGAAGTTCAGTTTTTATTTTCGCTTTTGTTAAATAGTCTCTTGGGAGACCGAAACTTCTCTAACTACAAACCTATAATAGAGTGGCCCTTCCCCCCTCTATCGCAATCCATTGTAACTAAAATCCAAGATATAATTTTATTTGTCCGTAAAGAAGAAAGATAGAAACAATTAATTAATGAAGTTTTGGATTTTAATTGGATACTTGTTGAATGATAACGATTTATTATTACATAATATTGTTTTATTTTCTTGGTTTGCTATAGTTTCGATGAATTATTTTTATATTGTTTTTAATAGCAATTCCAGTTGTTAGTACTATAATTTATTTTGGTTATTTTTATTACAGTTTCATTTATTTCGACTAAATCTAAAAAAATCTTATTTATACTCTTATAGATTGCCATGTATATGGTAAAAAGAATACACGGTTGATACTAGAGAAACCAGAACCTTCATACGACCAACAACCACAAACAATCGCAAGATTATTTTACCATCAAGGTTGCGACCGCGGACAAATCCACGTTCAATTAGGAATTGGTACAAAAAAAGTTAAAGCATACTGTTTTTCTCTAATATCGAAGAAGATATAATAAAAACATGATTTCCAAGTGATCATAGTCGATATCCAAGAGGTATTCCTTCATCAATATGCCAGTAACTGTAAATAAATGGTAGAAGTATAACCATTATAATACCACGGCTTTAAAAAACTATTAAAGAAGGTATACCTTGGAAGAGGTTGGTAGAGGAATTCTGATCGAAAAAGGGTTATCCAAACCTGCAAAAGAAATTCCAGTACGTTTTATAAACATTAATGATCACCCAGTTACTATCTAAGAGGGATACCAAAATCGAAATCTCTGTACCAGTAACTTCCATAATTTGTCAGACAACATCTGATTATTTTAACGACAAATTCGAGCATATAATTGCAATTGCTGTGCAATCCCTGAATCAATTAGAGAAAAGGAAAATACAAGAAATTTCTTCGACGATATCATGACATCTTTATACCAAAGGGAAAAAACAGGCAGACATTTTGATGTACAACATAAATTTGACACTGGTGACGTCAGGCCAATTCGTTAATTAATTTGAAGACTACCGAAGGGAAAGAGAAATGAAGCTTAAAGAAAAAATCATGAAATGGAGGAAGAAAATGTGATATAACCTTTTACTAGCCCATGGATCTCTTCTTGTTTAGAAATGGATGAAACTATGAGGTTTTGTGTGAACTTCCGTCAGTTGAACAATGTTACAAAGAAAGAGTTATCCTCTGCTTCGAATAGACTATACCTTGTACACATTGGCCGAAAGTAAACTTTAAGTAGATGGAAATGGACCCAGTAGACAAAGGAAAGGCAGCTTTTACCACTGGATCTGAATTGTGGCAATTCAATATCATGCTATTTTGATTTATTGAAAAGGTGTTTTAAATTTATCCTGAAAAACGTGTCTGGGGACGATACCATAAGCTTGAGGAAGATATTTGATGAACATCTGAAGAATATAGAAAATGTTTTTAAAAGACTTTAAGCAGCTAAATCTCAAGAAATGCCAACTATTCAAAAATAAAGCCAATTACTTGGGTCATATAGTCAGCAAAGAAGTGAGATAATTCTGCTGTGACGAAGACTGTCAAATTTTCTTTAAAACTTTAAAGAAGCATTTAATCATAGCGCCAATACTAGGCTACCCACTACCAGCCAGAGAATTTATTCTGGATTCTGATGACAGTAATGTAGGAATTAAAAGATTGCTTTTACAAATTAATGAAGTAAAAAAGAGTACTGGGGTAATTTAGTAAAGTGCTCTACAAACCTGAGCTAAAATGCTGCGTCACGAGAAGAGAATTGGCGTGAAACACTTCTACCAATACCTATATGGAGGAAATTTTTTTAATCCGGACCGATCATACAGCTCTTAAGTGACTGATGCACTTTAAGATAGAATGACTTCAAGAGTACGACTTTAAGCTCGAACATCGAGCCAGAATAAGCCATTTTTTTCTTCTTTTTCACGTAACTAACAGGATTTTTATAAGAAAATTATTTTTTACATAATTGATAAGTATGGGTCATCATGATAAATGCATTCAAGTTCGTCAATAATAAAATTAGACACTGCACAACTCATAAACATTGAAGCACAAATGAAAATTATATCTTAAGTACTTGCAAATAGTTTAAAATAACAATATTATGCCAACAATACAGAGAGCTCATACCACTCAGAAAGTCAGATACATATCACAAAAAAAAGACAAAAGAGCATCCAATAGTATAATATTCCTGGACTCTTCTTTTAGATAAGAAGAAATTAAATAACATTGTTAAAAAATATTTGCAGTAATAACCAAACATGGCGTACTGGAACAGTTCAAGAATCTTGTTCAAATCCAAATGCTTTATTAGAAATTAGCACGTACAGAACAATTTGGAGCTGTGATTTTCTTTAATGCTAGCAAACATAGTTGTCGTCATAGAGCCATGATAATGACTCTAACAGCAGCTATAGAAGTTATGCTAAATCTAACAACACCTAGGGCATTGTAGGCTTTACAAACGGTTTGATTCCGTCATGAAAAGGAAGAAACTGCAAAACACGTATTGTGCTACTGTGAAGGTCTACTAAGACAGATATTTTACAATTGGAGAAATAAAAAAACAAGGGCAACTAGCTATGCCGGAAAATTACTTCGTAGTCTATGGAATCAACTACAAAAGACCGAAATAGGCAAGGTAACCTAAACAACGATTAAAAAGTAGAGTGGGCCGAAAAATCCATTTTTCGAAAATTAAGATAACTTAGTCCTAAAAAGCTGTGTACCTTTTATTCATGTATGTCCAAAAAATTTCAATAAATAATTGTAATCTTTAGCCGGGACCCAGGGACCCCAAAAATTGTTTTTTCTCTTCAAATTTTGATTTTCGGTAGTAAAAAATCGATTTACCAAGTACTTTCAAGTACATACGCCAAATTTTATCGTTTTAAAGTTATTTTTAGCCGGGTCGCATGGTCTCTAAAAATTATTAAAAATGTTTACAAGTCCGGTACTGTATACCTGTAACCCGTATATCGATAAAAACCCTCCAGATCATACTTATACTCCAAAAGAATGGAATAACTTTGGACACATCTCGCTACAAACTGCAGGAAATACTGAAGAAATAACCAAAGGGTTACTATCGTGCTTAGAGAAACAGAATACATCTCTTGAAAATTTGGTTGTCCTTGGTTGTGATGGAACTAATATTAATACTGAATGGAAAGGCGGTATCATTCAAAAAATAGAAGTGCATATTGGCAAACCGGTTCATTGGAGTATTTGTATGCTCCATACCAATGAACTACCACTAAGGCACCTACTACAAGAGTTGGATGGCAGTACCGAAGGGCCTTATTCTTTCTTGAGGCCTTTAGAAATACTTCTTAAGGATTGCGAAAAAATGCAAGTGGTAAAATTTGAACCTATTACTTCCGGAACTTACAGAGACAGATTTAAGCACGGACCTTAGATAAAAGAGACCAGAGATATAACATACACCGGTTTTAAACCTGCGCAAATGTTGCCAATTTCTAAAGAAGGGTTAACGAAGTGGGGGAACTGGGCGGCGACACGCAGCGACCCGAACTCTGTGACAGAGACCGGACTTTGTTTATTAGCAACTTAATGAACTATTAGGTTTATTTAAAAGGTGTTTAATCGAATTTTGTATTATTAAATCAAATTATCGTGATTTTTTAATATCAAACAGATGTCACGACATTTTATGTAAAGAGAAGACCTTTTATAGAATATTTCGTTAGCGTTTATTTACTACGGACTTTTCTGCAAGAGATTACAGTAAAATGTTGAAATAGAATATATTGTTAATAGAGCAAAAAATGTTACTCATTGTCTACGAGTATTATAAAAATAGCATGTGCGCAGGCTAATACTGCAAATCTACCCTTATGAGTTGAACATTATATTTTTTCTACGGGTATTACATATTATTAAAAATTAGTCAAAATGAGAAAATGCTATTTTGTATTGTAACCTCAGAAAAAGTATATTAAGGCTTCTTTCTTTAAGAATATTATTTATTATAAAGGATGAGTCACATAAAACTCTAGAAATGCATATGTCTGAAACCTGATAACATTTTAAAATTTAAATCTGTTAAAAGTCATTTGGTCGCTAGGGATGAGTGATTATCGAAATAAATTATCGATAATTGAAAATAATCGATTATTTTCGATCAATAGATTATTTTCAAACAATATATTTTTTGTCATTTCCTTTAAAATCGACTACTTGATTATCTTTGAAAAATCAAAAATAATCGATTAATTAAAAAGCCAATTAACCGATAAATCAGTGTTTACAAAATATAATATAAATAGAATTATCGTTTATTTTAAATAATCGATTATTTTCAAATAAACCATTTTTTTTCGTCCATGGAAACAGATTATTCGATAATCTTTGAAAAATCGAAAATAATCGATTAATAAAAAATAATCAATTAATTAAAAAGTCGATTAACTGATAAATCGATTTAAAAAAAAACAGAATGATCGATTATTTTAAATAATTGATTATTTTCGATCAATCGATTATTATCAATAATCTATTTTTATTGTATTTCCTTTAAAATCGTTAATTCGATTATCTTTGAAATAGCGAAAATAATCGATAATTCCAAAATAATCGCCTAATCGAAAATAATCAATTAATTAAGAAGCCGATTCTATGATAAATCGATTATTACCAATAATCTATTTTATTGTATTTCAAAAATATTCGATTAATTAAAAAGTCGATTAACTGACAAATCGATTTTCAAAAAAAACAGAATGATCGATTATTTTAAATAATCGATTATTTTCGATCAATCGATTATTATCAATAATCTATTTTTATTGTATTTCCTTTAAAATCGATAATTCGGTTATCTTTGAAATACCAAAAATAATCAATAATTCCAAAATAATCGCCTCATCGAAAATAACCAATTAATTAAGAAGCCGATTCTCATATTTCCTTTGAAATTGATTATTCGATTATCGAAAATAATTGATTATTAAAAAGCTGATTATCCAATAAATCGATAATTTTAAAAAAATAACCAAAATATCGATTATGTAAAATAACCGATTATATTCAATCGATTATTTTCATATAATATCTTTGAAAAATCGAAAATAATCAAATAATTAAAAAACCGATTAAACGATAAATCGATAATTTTGAATAAATGTACTTTTTCTGTATTTCCTTTAAAATCGATTAACACATTATCTTAAAAAAAAACGAAAATAATTTTTTTATAAAAAGCGGATAAATCGATTTTCATTAAAAAATATCAGAATTATCGATAAATCGATTATTTTTGTAACCCCTATCGGTCGCTTGCTTTTATCTGAGCATTTAGTTCCAAAATTTAGAGATTCGGATTTTTTGATCCAGTTATCTTTGAAATCGCATTCGCTTGTATAATAAATAAATATTGCTAAATTTTGGATTTTTTTTAGTAAACGAAAATTATGTTCGAGTTGTTTAGGGGTTTGTAATCTAACATTTTATTAACGTGACTAAGGGTTGATTCCACCGTTGTGTTAAACGAAGTTTAAAATGACATTTTTACATTAACACTGTCATTTTAATCTCCGTTTAACACAACGGTGGAATCGGACCTAACTCCTTAACTTTAGTATTTTTTTTTGTTTATACTAGATTACTTTGTTTTAAGAATGAAAATTCAATGTCACTTTCGATTTGACCGCAAATAAGATGAACCTTGAAATTTTAAGTAGGTCATCCTGTATTTCATCTAATATTCTTATAAAAATACCTTATAAAAATAAAATTTAGCTAGCAACTATGATTCTTTACCTCTTATTTATCTACCAAAAAGGGCTAAAAACTACCTTTAGAAAACATTCTTATAAAACTACTATTTAAATACAAAATTTCGTTAGCAGTAATGCCTATTTACTATTTATTTAAATTAAATGTTCAAAATTTTACCCTTTTGTAAATTTATGTAAGTAATATGAAATCTGATGCTTAATATTTATTGAAACCCCTTAATGCGGATCTGAAGTATTCAGCCCAGAGAATCATGGCGCTTTATGTCAAAACGTTAATAAATATTTACCGCTGAAAACGAATATATTCATAACAGTAGTACTTGTGTATTATAAGTACATACAATTTTTCAAGATACATCGTGACATTTTGAACTTGAAATTGAATAACTAGAACACTTTAAATTGCTAAAATACCAACAAGTAAATCAAAAAACAGCTGTCAATGGTGATTAAACTCAGGTGGAGGTGTGATCGCTGAATGGAAATCGGAGCAATTCGGGTGGCGTCGTGCAACAATGATTTTCAATTGGTGGGTTACTTTGGCTTAAAATAGACAGCATGCGCAGTGTGCAATGTTACATCTTCGGTCTCTTTAATCTAAGGCACGGACCAACAATTTTAATATCAGCTATTAATATTGAGCTTTCAACTGGAAGATGTGGAAGTTAAGCAGTATTTCTGATTATATTTTAAAGAAGTGACCGATGAAAGAATTAGATTGTTTTAACGCATTACCGCCTATTATATTGTTCAATAAGCTTTGATGTTACAGTGCCGCCACGCTTAAATTCCTAGGAAACGGACCAGAGTGTCAGCAAAGGACGTCCGAAGATGAAGAAGAAGAAAAAGAACAGACGTATACTAAAATAAAAATAAAATTTTTATTATTATTAGTCCAAAAAGTTTTCCTGAAGTTTCATTAAAAATATTTACCCACTAATATCAAAAATATTGTTCTCTTTGCATAAATTATATATCAACCCAAAAAGTTGTTTTAACTTTCAAACAATAATGTTCACTACAAAATCTTTTAATTATATGTACCTACCATAGAGACGTGCATACATTAGAATTGAAAGGTGTTTACTTATTAAATTTTATCCACACTTCATTTTCTTGACAGTTTGTGTTTTACAGTAAACATCTTAACCCATTAATTAATCAAAGTCGTTCTTCCCGTGTAACGTTTTCGAGAGGACTGAATGATGTAAGACGCGTCTAGCGAATATACTTCTAATAAGACATCATGAAGATAAAGTGGGGAATTTTAGAAAAGGGAAAATAATAGTTTTAACTTTAAAAAGAATAATAATTTCCTATCATATTACGAAAATATTCATACTACTCATTACAAAACTAAAAAAAGACGAATCAACTTAATAAAGAATGAATCGGATATTCTAATCAGTGTTTTATTGTTTTATTTTCAACAAATTATAAATTTAAATTCGATATTTTTCTCAATAATAATATTACGTTTTCCATAATTCATCCCTATGAGCGAATTTTAACCCTAGAAGCAAATATTGTACTCTTATATTCACATCTTCTACACTTATGTTTACTGCTCACTTTGAGAGCATGTTATGTATCCACCCACTAACCATTTGTGGAACATTCCTGTTGGTTAGTGAGTATATTATCTTTGGAATGCACCTTCTTTGTCTAAGAAAACACTCAAGGCGGACTCCTTATTGTCCAGGGACCTTTCTATCCGGCCAGAAACTAGATAAAGTGCTGAATCAGTAGATCTACCTGGGGTGTATGCATGTAGGTTTGGGTGTAGTGGTGTTATTGTAATCACCGCATTCCTTATGTACCTTTCGCATAGCTTTTCCAATGTCTTCATGGAAAACGATGTCAGACTAATTAGTCGGTATGCTTTTGAGACAGTGTAATCCATACTTCCAGGTTTGGGTATAAATACCACTTTTACCCTTCTCCATTTTTGGGGGATATACCTCAGAGCCAACGAGGATCTAAATATACCCACCAGGTGCGATGTGAGTTCTTCCAGACTCCACTGAAGTAGGGCTGGATAGATACCGTGAGGTCCTGGCGGATTAAATTGAGAGAAGCTGGATATTGCCCATCTAATTTTTTCATCGATGAGTTTGGCAGTTTGCCAATCATAGAGAGATGGATTGTAGTTTTCCTCTGCTTAGTCGGCCACGTCTGTGATGACCGAGCAGGAGTTTGATGCTATCTCGAGGTTAGCAGTTTTCGTGCCATTCTCTTTGATTAGCGCACCATTGCTACGGTGTGGATCTTTTGAGAGCTCTTTGAAGCCTCGCTGCCTACGGGAAATCTTTAATTTCTTCAAAGTAGGATCTCCATGCATCTCTTTGTTTTTGTCTGATGATTTTTTTGTATTCTCTGAGGTGAAATTTGTAAGTATCTCAGTCCTCTTTGAGTTTTGTGTTTCTCGCCCTATTAAAAGATTTCCTAGCCGTCTTCTTGAAGTG